GCATGCTAGATGTTTATTATTCATGAAAGTCCAAATGGATGTTTCTGATTGGCTGGTGTATTTTCTGCAGGCTTAGGGACCCAGACTCTTTCCATCTTGTGGCTCTGCCCTTCATGGAGCCTTGAGCTCCTCTACTCGATGCCCTTGCTCGAGAGAAGAATGTGCATAAATCAGCCTCAGAAGTGGTGCTCAGAGTGGCCAGAACCTGCCCACGTTCCGCTGACCAGACTTGGCCATGCAGTTAGCTAACCTGCAGGAAGGTTGGGAATGCAGCCAGGCTGTGCACCTAGGAAGAGAAGAGAACGTGAATATTGGTGAATGCAGGTCTCTGCCACAGTGGGGAATGTTTGTGTTCAATCACCTATAGTCACAGAACCATCCAGCATTAGAACTGGAAAGAGTCCCAGAGATTGATTAACAACGCATTGTAGTGACTTGATTACTTACAAGAACTCAAAGGAAGTACACCTGGAGGTAATATCTCAGCTCTGTTCACTCACTGTGTGACTTTGAGCAAGTGGCTATACCCTTCAGACAACGAATGCTTTCATCTGTAAACAGGCAGATAGTTGTCCCTAACCCATGGAGTTGGTGTGAGTTAAATGAGAAAGTGTCTGCCAAGCTTCCAGCACGTTCCCCGACCCTAGTGAGCATTTGATCCTTGAGAGCTCTTTTACGTAGCCCAAACTCTTTGTCTTATGAATCGGAGAAATGACTTGGTCAAGGTCACACAGAAAATGGATGTCAGAGAGATCAGGTCTCAGTTTCTGGTTATCCCCATAACCTCTCTCTGTACTTTTGCCTGACTTTGAACAGAAGGCCATTAGGCCAGAGCCTTGGATGCACTTTCAACCCCTGTGAATCCTCAGGCATGATCAGCCATCATCTCTGACAGCTCAGAGGTCAGTCTAGGCCACTGTCCTTAAGGATGGGAAGAAATAAATGCAAACTGCTTAAAGGGCCATTTTCCCTTGAGTCCAAATCTCCCAGTGCCTCAGCTGGCTGCCCAAAGAAGCAATTTAGCAAATGCATTTTATCTCAGGAGAAATCTGTCTTTTGTTTCTGTGACTTGCTTGTGAGAAGCCCCCTGCTCCTCGGGCCCCCTCCCCCCATGGCCAGAGTATGGAGTGTGGGAGCATTCAGGGCCTGGGAGCATTCAGCTCAGCATCACCCAAGAGAAATTATCCGTACTGTGGGTGAAAAGGAAGTAGTTTTTAAGCCGCTCCAGTCTTCCCCTTGAGATAACATCAGCCATGCAGTCAGCACTAAGAAATCCTATATTAGAATTTGAAAAGGTACATAATGTAATCATAATAATATTGCTTAGGTTTTGTGTAGCACTTTACAGTTTACAAAGCACTTTTACACGCATAAGTTCCTGTGAGAAGATTGCAGGGGATATGTTAAATACAGAAAAGTATGAAGAAGCCAATAAAATTCATCTGTGAATCCACCGGTCACGAGAAAAGCTTTGTTAACATTGTAATGTGTTCCCTTTGGTCTCTTTTCTATGTGGCTTTTTGTTTGTTTGTCTATTTGCTGTATTGGGATCATACTGCATATGCATTTTCTGTGGCCTGATTTTTTGTGGACCATTGTGTGTTCCACCATCTCCTTTGATCCTCGCATCCATCCCTGGAAGAGGAGTCACCACACTGCGAAGATGTCCCTGGTGTGAGGTCTGAAGACTGGATTCTCGGTCTGGACTGCTCCTTAGCTGTGTAACTGGCAGATGACTAAAACCCTCTGAGCCTCAGTTTCCTCCCTGGTAAAACAGATGTGTGCTAAAGGATTAAATTAGTAAAGCAATCCACCTGAAAACATTTAGCACCGCACCTGGCCCAGAGCAGGTGTTTCATTCCTATTAGCTGAGCAAAGGTGCAGACCACCATGTTGATGATGAATAGAACGTTAAAGCTCAAGGAAGGCATCTGGTTGGTCCAGAGTCCCATAGATTCTGACGTCATAGGTCTTGACATCATACTTGATGTGCTTGCCACAATACCCAGCGTGGTTGGGAGACAACAATATTCCCTAGACCCTACCCCTTAAGCACTGTGATGGCCACAGGTGACCCAGGGATGGATGCCACTGAACCACACTGTTGGTACTATGAAGTTCATAGAGGCTGCTTATCCCCCAGGACTGTTGGTAGACCCTCCCAACTAGGTCAGACCATGCTTTGGGAGTTCTGGGAGCACTTTCACTGGCCACCGTTCCCTTTTTTAACATGAGCACCTGGCTATGGGTACATCCAGTAGAGGCTTGTTGAGCACACAGGATGCTCTAGATGTTCTAGGTACAGGAAGTGCAGAGATGAATGGGCTATAGCCCCTGCCTTGAGGAGCCCCCTATACGGGCACTTTTCAGAAAGTGGCTCCCGGAGCCATTTACCTTGAAATGTTGTTTCCCCCTAACTCAAGGCTATGTGCCTGCATTAGTAATGAGAAACTCCCTACACACATGCATTTCTTATGTTCTGCCTACTAATTTCCTTTCTCACATGATCAAAATAACCTTGTCTTTGTAAGGCTCATCAAAGATGCTTTTGTCCATACACACAGGCCTGGCCACACTTCCACGTCCACACCTGTCCTCACATGCGACCCCATACCTGTCTCCCCTGAACTGGAAGCCATGCACTCCTGTCAACACATTAAAAAAAACACCACACAAATCAAACTCCACCCGCCCCCCACACACACCTGCAAACAACCTTGCTTTTGCAGAGCACTTTGCAGATGTATATTCTCTAAATGGAAATAATTGCTTATGTTCTTTTACAGTATGGGTGGGAGAGGAGGAGGATATGAATTGGTTAAGTTTCCTCTTGGGGGGTGACACTAGTTTCTAGGTATATTTGGGTTTCTCAAGGAGGAGGAGGTGGGGACTGTCTTTGACATTCATGAGACAGAAGTGCTATCCAGGCTCACCCAGCCCCTGCCTTCCCTGCCTCCCTAGACTGTCTCCTTCAGGTGGTGATTGAGGATGGAAGGCATCCACCCAGCTGTCTCCCTTTCCTACCTGTGGTCACCACCGTGGTAATAGACAATGCCAGCTGTGTCTTTACTTCCCTCCAACACTGTACTCTGCATATGCAGAATCTCTTGTAATCTTCCTACAACCGCCTGGGGTAGTTACTGTTATCAACCCCATTTTACAGTTGAGGAAGTGGAAGCCCAGAAGGGTTATGCAACTCACGCAACATTGTAGAGGCAGGAGTGGGATGGAACCAGTAGCCTCGGCCACTGTGTTGCATCTGCTTCCTGACCTGAGGCTGAGTGAGCATCTTTCCCGGAGAGGCAACTTGGTGGTGGACCCAGGTTCGGCCTTCCTGAGTGACCTCAAGATCTTGAAACTGCTTTTTATCTGTCAAAAGAGGCTATACGTGCCTCACTGAGAGACTCCAAGGAAAGGCATCACATGCACCCAGCACCTTGCACAGAGCCTGGTGCATGCTTGTTTGTTGTCCAAAATGTTTTCAGCCATTATAGACCCTTGAACTGCAAATATAGGAGCAAATAATGGGCTTAAGAAGGATCACCTTGTATGCATAGCATTAGAGGATATGGAAGGAAAATTAGGACAGGCCTTAATGCACAATGATTACAGTGTATGTGCAGCAAACATTTCTCATGTGTGCAGCACATGAATATTAAGCTCCTGTCATGCAATGGGCACAGTGCTAAGGGCAATGGTAAAGTGTCACCATGGTGCCACGGAAGTTACCCTTAAATAATTTTGGTTCAAACTGACAAGTGCTTTAGTGGAGTTATGAATTGGGTGCTCTTGGGGCACAGAGAAGTGGACCACCTCTAACTGACAGGGCCAGCTAAGGTCTCACCGACAAGAAGGTGTCATCCCCCAGAAAACTTCTCTCCTGCTTCTGCCCAGTCCATCTACTCTGCCCCCACCTGCCACTGATCTAATTTCTATCCCTATTGAAGCTTTTTTACTTTTTCATTGCAAATCTTCATCAATGAAGTAAGCAGTCACCCCTGCCTGGGAGGGACATGGTGGGATTGGCATGCCATGGTTGTGTGTCGGGCAGCTGCACATCCTCAGACAAATCTGGATGTTGTGCATCTGCATCTGTCATTGTTAGATGCTAAGTCTTTGGTTCCCTGTTGGCAGGTCAGCCTGCTCTTACAAGTTGGATTTGGAAGGCAAGTAGAGCTAAGGACTTCTACAGGCAGATTAAGGGAGCACAACTTCCTGAGAGTTAGAAAGAAGAAAGAAGATGGGGCGCCTGGGTGGCTTAGTCGGTTAAGCGTCTGGCTTTCACTTAGGTCATGATCTCGCAGTTCGTGGGTTCGAGCCCCGCGTCGGGCTCTGTGCTGACTGCCAGCTCAGAGCCTGGAGCCTGTTTCAGAGTCTGTATCTCCCTCTCTCTCTGAACCTCCCCTGCTCACGCTGTCTCTCTCTCTCTCCTAGAAATAAAAATAAAAACATTTAAAAAAAAAAAGAGAAAGAAGAAAGAAGAGTGGATGCCAAGACTCTGATTAAACTTAGATGAAATAAAAGGAACAGATTTAAAAATTTTGTTTGGGGATTGGTTTTACTTTTCTTTCCCAATCCCTGGTATAGAGATAGAAGTCTGGAGTTCTAGGGGGGAGATAAGTATTAGCTTACACAAAGGCACTGCTGCATTCATATTTCAGTACATTCTGCCCTGTTATTTGAAACTGTTGTACTAGGTCATCTACCAAAACATTTTTTGTTTATAAGAAGTTTGTGGTTGCCTATATATTTATTGATGATAACCACCATCATTCTCAGCTCCGAGGGGCTTGTGTCTCCGATCATGAGATCTTCGTGGCCTTCACCTCTTCATCATGGCCTTTATAAAATTAAATTGCCAAGGAAACTAAAAACAGTGATCCTGTCCTTCTATGTGTAGAACATCAACAACATTCAATGAGTAACCACCTCAGACAAGGGCAGGCTCCTGGCTCCTTGAGGTTTCCCTTCTTGGTCCCACACCCTCTTCTACCTTTCAGCTCCAGAAGCAGCTCTCTGAGCTGGATGAAGATGACCTGTGTTATGAGTTCCGGCGAGAGCGGTTCACTGTCCACCGAACCCATCTGTACTTCTTACACTATGAGTATGAGCCCACTTCAGACAACACGGACGTCACCCTGGTTGCTCAGCTCTCCATGGACAGGTATGCAGATGGGCCCTGACTTCCCCACAGGCTCTTCCCTACAGCTCTGTACCCAGTCATAGGGAGAAGGGAGAGATGACCTCACAGGCTTAGGCTCAGGTCACACTCCTTTCCAGCCCTGAAAACCAAGGGTTCTTGTCTTCCAGTGAGGGTGGTGGTTTTGAGGATAGAGGGAGAATTGATTCTAAAGATCAGTGCTCTACTCAAATTACCTCAAGGAACAGGGGGTGTGTTACAGGGAAACACATATTCTGGAACCACTATCACTGCTGAAAAGCAGTTGCTGTTTCTTTTCCTTAGTGGATTGATGCAACAAACATCCATCAAGCCTTTATCAGGAAGTACTGACGTGATTGCCATCCTTATGTGGCTTACACTCTAACGCACTGATTCTCAACCTTGGCTGAGGGCAGACTGAATCACCTGGGGAGCTCTTAAAACAAATTCACCTTCAAGTTCTGTCGCACACCATTTAAGTAAGAATATATGTGTGGTAGAGACCTTGTATTGTTTTAAATTTGTGATGTACAACCAGGGTTGAGAACGTGGAGATAGGGGCATAAATAGCAATAAGTAGTTGAGTAAAATGATTATAATTGTGCTATGTGCTTGGAAGGAAATGAGATTGACCAAACTATATCAAGAGAGGGACCTTCTTTAGGTGATGTGATCAGGGGAAATCTTTCTAAGGATGGGACATTTCTGCAGAGATCTAAAGGAAGAGAAAAGGAAGCAGGTATATGGGGTGGTGAGAGAAAAATGTTTCCAGATGGATAAAATAGCAAGTGTAAAGGCCCTGTGGTGAGAAGGGTCTTGTAACTTTCAAAAATATGATAGAAGAGCAGTGGGTTAAGCTTAGCAGGAAAGTGGCATGAGAGTAAGATTATAGAACATGAGAAACTCACAGAATATTCAGATTTTGTCCTAAGGGTGGTGAGAACTTATTGAAGACATTTACACAAAGTTATATGACCCAGGTTAGGTTTTTGAAAAATCTCTCTCTGGCTGCCAGGAGGTGTACAGTTTCAAAGTCCTGAGGTCATGCATTCAGGGCTATACTTGTCTCTGTCTGGGAGTCCCGTGTGTCTCCTTCCCACCTCCGCTGATCGGCTTTCTCTTTGATTTACACCTGGCCCACAATGGCTCCTGTAGCCCCCGGCTCCTTCATTTCATTCCCCCTCACCTCCCACAGTTGGGAAGGGAATTTGATTGGCTCACTTGGTCTTTGAGTCACCCCAGAGGTACTTGTCCAGCCTCTGGATGAGATTCCATGGGATTGTTTTCAGGATTAAAAGCGTTAATGCCTGGAAAGTGCTGAAAACAGTACTTGGCACACTTGTTGGGTGTTCAACAAATGTCATTTGTTATTAGTTGGGACTGATTGAAGAATGGATGAGCCAATGAAGGAGTGAGCACTCAGATGTGAGAGGTTCACATACTGTCTGAGGAGTGAGTGGAACCTGGCATCGAGAGATATCTGGAATGAGTTGTGTTCTCATCTGGAATGAGGAGCAGGTTCCTCGCTTTGGGAGTGCCACTGTGTGTTGGCGAATGCTTGCTCATGGAATTAAGTGGCTCCATTGGCTGGGTGTTTCCTGGAGATTCATGGGCCTCAGGGCTCCTGTGTAAAAACTCAGAGAACTTACTGAGTACAACAGGTGGCAGGTAGAGATGAACTGGGACGTAAGAGGAGAGCACAGGCGTCCTTGTACCAGCTCCGTCCTGACCTGCCGTGTGACCTCAAGCAAGATGTTCCCTTCCTGTGGCCTCAGTTTCCTAATCTCTAAAATTCATGTGACCACTCAGCAAATACTGTGTAAGCATCTACTCCTGTGCTGCTGTCCCAGGCTCTTGTGAAGCCAGGGATATTTATGAGAAGATGCCATGTTTGCCTTCAAGGAGTATATAGCATGTTCACGGCTCAGACAGTGTATTTGTTGTCTACGGTTGTAGAAAAAATAACCACAGATGGAGCAGCTTAACACACATTTAGTATCTTCCACTTTAGGGGATCAGGAGTCTGGACACGGGTGAGCAGGGCCCCCTGTTCTGCCCTCAGGCCTGCAGTCTAGGTGTTGGCTGGGGCTGTGATCTCATGGGAGTCAGGGTCCACTTCCCAGCTCATTCAGCTTTGGGAATGCAGTTCTAGGACTGAGGTCCCTGTTTCCTTGCTGGCTTTTGGGCTGGGGTCCTTCTGAGCAATAAAAGGCCACGTGGTTTTCTCACAGCACGGCAGCTTACATCTTCAAAGCCAGCAGGAGACTTTGTAGTCTGTTATATCACATAATCCATGGGAGCCATATCCCATCCCCTTCCCTAGGTTCAGTTCACACTCAAGGGAGGGGATTATACAGGTGTATATGCCAGGGGGCAAGAGTTGTGGGGCCCAGCTTAGAATTCGTGCTTAGAATTCTTACTAAAGAGAGATGCTATGGGAGGAGCCCTTATCCTGGCCTGAGAGTGGAGAATGGAAGAGACAGGGAGTGTGTCCGAAGGGAGGTATTGCCTGCATTGAGTTGGAGGCTGAGTAGGTGGACAGTAGAAAGTGCACAGGGAGAGAAGGAGGCTTCCAAGGTGGAACATAGGCGTATTCATGGGACAAAGAGGACCCATTGGGAACACATGGGCTCAAGTGTGGTTAGAGTTGAGGGTGTAGGTGAGGAAGAGGAGAGCAGATGAACGTGGCCAAATAGGATTACAGAAGATGTTGGCAGAACCAGGGAAACTACCTCCCCCCACCACCCCACCGCACCCGGCTCACACTGTCAAGCTCCCTGTCAGGCTCCATAAGGGACTGACTTGGACCTGAGCCCCCGAGTCACCCCTAAACTTCTGTGCCCCTGGGGCTTCTCACCCAGCCTTCAGTTTGGGTGTGCATGCTCCCCCCTCACCAGGCAGCACTTTAGTGAGTGACCTGGCCATTATAGTCTCTCTTCTCATTTCTTTTTCCTTTTTCTCTATGCCATTTAAAATGAAAATGAAATCTAGTCCTTAATATTCATGCCGAATGAAGGTTGAGATTGGTCTTCTATTCTTCAGGTAGCATAAATGCACGTCAGGCCCCTCAGGTGGGCTACCTGAAGCTCAGACACTGTAATGTGCCCAGGTGAGTGAGTTCCAGATAATTTCAGGTTCTCAGCTCTCAGAGCATTCCTGGTTTTCCTTGGTCCAATTCATGCCTCCTATTCATACATTCAGTTTATCAACAAAATATGCTGAATCAAGATTAGTAGCTATCCAGTACCTCCAAACTCAGGAGAAAATGAAAGAGTTACACCTGACATCCTTTCTAATCTGAATAAAGTGGTCTGACCTTGAATAATTTGGTCTCGGGAATCAGACACTGTGGGGCCTTGGTGGCACTGCCACTTCTTGACTTTGACCCTTGGACAAGTCCCCTCTTAAACCTTGGTTTCCTCATCTGTATTCTGGGAATGATAATGACAGTAGCTCCTGTCTGAGGTTGTTGTAATGGTCAGGTGAGATGGTGCCTCCACAGGACTTAGCCCTGGCATATGGTTAGAGGCTCCTTATCATTTGATAGCACCATTAACCAAAATCTTAAAATTTGTGGTACTATAGCAAAGGACACTAGTCTCACAAAGAGCTCAAATCCCACCAACTCCATTACTCTTTAGCTGGTGATCTTGCACAAGTCACCCAACACCTTTGGTTATATTTCTTCTTCTATGAAGAAAGTTAAAAAAAAATTTGCCTCATAGGGTCCCAATTAGGAATAAATGAGAGACATTCTGTGAAAACCCTTGGCATATATTTGCATTCAATAAATACTTACAGATCTGAAAACCCTGACCAGAGCATCTGCACATGGTATATATGTAGGAGAGGTAAAGTGATGTAGGAAAAACAAAAATATCTTGGTTCAAAGTCCATTTGCACCACTTAATGGCTGTATGAACTTGGGCAAGTTACTTAGGCTTTTTGAGCCTCATCTTATTTATCTGTGAAGTGGTGACAGTACTGTCAAGTTCACAGATTGGTGTCAGGTGTTCTAAAATGAGAGGCTCTGAGGTGCGCAGTGAGAAGTAGGTCTACGACAAATACTAGTTTCCCTTTCCTTAGTGTTTTTTTTTTTTTTTTTACCTCTATGCTAGCTATGGAATCCGCGACCTTGAATTTATAAACTAGAAAATTGTTTATGTTATTAACACCCCACAGCCATCCTTCTGCATGCAGTTGACATCAATAAAAGGATCCAGGCAAAACAGAACTGGTCCTTCTAGTGCCAGCGGGAAGCATCCTCCTGGCCGAGGCTGCAGGACCCCAACTGGCCCTCCCCTCTCAGCCCACTTAAAAGAAAACCCTGGCCCCTCTCACACCTACTGCAAACACTGACCACAGAGGCCTTCCCTTCAAAGCACTCACATCCCCCAGCATAGCAGGTACATGAACCCACCCCCCCCAATACATTGTGACAAGTACCGCCATCCTGACAATACCCCAGAGAGCCCAAGGAGTTCCATATCCTAACGAGAGATGCTTAGCGGGACATAATAAAAAATTACAGAGCGGTACCACAGGCTGATGGAGACGGTAGGAATTCCTTCTTCCGCTCCATCCTACACATCCAATTATGATGCAGCAGGCTGACTGGTGCCTGTTGGATTGATTTTTAATTGAAGAAACATTCCGGGTGTGTTTGTAAACCTTTGAGTCAGAAGTAGGCCCTACGTGAATGCCACAATAAATTAGGAGAGCCGGCGCGCAGGCTCCCGTACCCGGATCCCTCTAGATTTCTGTTCAGAAAGAATGAACGTCGCCTGCTACAGCTGTGAAACCGACAGATTTGCTCTCTCCCGGCACACGGGAGATGTCCCTGCTGTCCCAGCAGCTCTGAGAACGGTCGATAGGAGGGATCCTGGTCACAGCATCCTTACCACCTGGCCAGGAGACGCTGGCTCTTTCGTGTTCCTTTGACAGTTATTGACGTGCTGAGTCCAGCCCCAGGGAATCCTGTCGTTGATGGGGCTTCTCTGCTT